CTAATCTCTTGAAAATCTCTAGGATCCATTTGGCATCAACATGTAGTGAAGTTTGATTTTGTGTATATCAGTAGTCTTCTTCATGCATAGTCTTGTAGGGTGGGGGGACAAAGTAAAGGCAATGCAATATAATACTTCCTCTTTCACACTGCATCTCTCAATTTCCTCTCATCTTGGAAAAGTAAACAACATCTAAAGTGGAAAAGTAAACAACATCTAAAGTCTACATTAAAAAAAAAAACAATCGACTATTCTGATTTTATTTGAGCAACAATATAAAAATTTCAAGAACAGAACCTTACCAGAAATAACTTATGCTACATAAAGAAGTAGGAGGAATTCACTATATATGTGTAATAAAATGATAGAAATAGCCATCTTCCCGCGCGCAGCTTCAGTCAGAGAAGTAAAAGTTTCAAGGACTGAACTGTTTCTATAACTCTAGTCCAACCCCTCAGAGGCCACAAGTGAATATGATTGCGGGCACTCATTTGAACTTAATATAGGGAAATTTTACATCCTTGTCTTTCGGCCACGCAAGGAAACAATTTACTTAATTGGAAACACGAGAGCTACGGTAACACTTGAACCTTTTAATATTAGAAGAAAAGCGTGAAATCTGTTTATAATAGAACTTGTTAACTGGAAAATACAGAAAACACCCTTATATTGTGCAATGCCACATGACGTAATAAAATACTGTAAAAACCAGTGACGATTAAAACTCACTTACTTGTGATCATTCCCATCCACCACCATGGTTCATACAGGTATGCATGGCCTCCAGAGGCTGATTATATTAAAGAGCACGAAATAATGGAAAATGAGGGCAAATTTTTGTGTTTAATAAAGATAGCAAGAAAATGAAAAAAAAAATAGATATATAAATAAAAAGGTGAACCTGCTCTGTTCCCCGTATTCCCAGCCCTTTGGAGACCCTTCTTTTTGATAATGAAGCTAGACCCAATGAAAACGCTCGAAGACACAGCGAGAACAAGGCCTTTTACGTTGTCAGACGATATCCCCATATATCACGAAAAAAGAACAACAGCACCCAAAGATTCTTCGCCGAAGATTGCAGGCAGCGCCAAGATGAGCAGAAGTTCTTCAAATATGGCACGTAAATGAAAAGTAAGAATCCAAAAAGGGCAAAAACAAAACAAGGTAGGATTGACAAACAGAGCATACCTTCTTGGCACCCTGCAAACAGATATCAAGCGATAAACAGTAAGCCGAAAAGAAGAGAAAAACGCATTTGTGAATCGAAAACCACAGGAGCAGGGTTCTTCAGGTAGCTGTTGCGAGGAGGCGGAGGAAGAACGAAGGCCAGTCGGAGAAAGAAGGGCAGGGCGGGTGGTGGAAGAGGGGCACGAGGAGAAACGCAGAGGTGGGAGCAAGACGCAACGGTAAGTCCGTTACATATGCATCCCACGAACAAATGGGAAAATACAGCCACAATTTAACAAGTTTTCCGCGGATCCAGATTTGCTGCTTTTTTTCCCTGATATATATTCTTACTCGCTTGTGATCTTAGCCGTTTTCTTAATCGACGGATCCCATTATGCCACCCAATATTAATGGATTCACACGGGGACTATGCATAATCCAGACCGTTGGCTTCGAATCTCACTCTCGGATAATGATTATGATCCAAGGAAACTATTGAGGAACATTGATTCCGTTTTCCCCCCCTTTTCACCATATCTCCACCGCCGTTATCGAGAGCTTGTTTCCTCTTCATGCCTTGAACCCCCAACCATATCATCCATTTCTTTTTATCTGAAGTTAAATTTGGTCTGTTCATGTGCTTGTATTAGTTTTTTAGAAATAATTTTACAAAAGTATATGTAAAAAGAAATTGTTCACCACTTATATCAAAACACCTTTTTAATTATATGGGATGCCATATAAAATCGGTAGGCTACATTTCAACTTTCAAGCAACCAAAAAAAAGAAAAATGACAATAAAATATTTTCTGAATTTCAAAATGACAAATAAGGCATCCGAATAAATAAAATGACAAAGAAGACATCAGGTACCAATCTGGGATTTTGATTTTGAATTTTACAAAACACACAGTAGGATTTACAGCTTTCATGGTGAGAGTTACTACTTCATTAATAGGTTTTGCAATCTGTTTTGAAGGGCTGGGCAAGTTTTGTCTAATTTTATAAACACATAGTGGGATTTACAACTTTTATAGTTAGATTTACTACTTGGTCAATGGGTTTTGCAACCTGTTTTGAGAAGTTGGGCAACTTTTCTGTAAAAAAATAATACAATTCCACGCTGAATTTTACAAAACACATAGTGAGATTTACAACTTTCATAGTGAGAGTTACTATTTCGTCAATAGGTTTTGCAACATGTTTTGAGACCAAAAATCAAAATTCCAGATTAGTACCTAATACCTTATTTATTGTTTTATTTATTTGGATGCCTTATTTGTTATTTTGTCATTTGAAATTCAGAAGGTATTTAATTGTTATTTTTCCAAAAAAAAAAAAAAACTTCTGCTAAAGGTTCTCTTTCTCACAAGAATTTGTTAGTCAAATTCAAAAAGTTAAACGCAAGTGTAATGTCCAAACATGCTTTAATTATTTCTGGCTAGATTAGGCGCATGCTTGGTTTCATATTGCATCTAAATGCACGCTTGGCAATTGTTGTGACTTGTAATATATTGCTTCCAATCCTAATTATAAAAACTAGTTGACTAATTTGAGGAGATTAAGGGAAAAAGTTAAGTTAGTTATTTGTAATAAATAGGTGTTGTTTTTCCTAAAATATCCTTGTTAATCAAGTTTATTGACTAGAACTACTATTATTAGAGGGACTACCTTGAAAAAAATATATAAATATAAGAGACAAAGTGGATTAGAGTTTTATAATTAGGATCAAAATAAAAGTCAAACAAAGTCTTATATTAAGGACCGGAGGTAGTATTTTTTTAATATAAGAGTTAGTTAACTAATTTGATTAGATTAAATAAATTTATTAAGTTAGTTATTTATAATATATAGGTGTAAATGTGTAGTAGTTAGAACTATCATTTCATAGAACATTTAACCTATACAACTACTATGATGACTATTTTGAAAAAATAGATAAATGTAAGAGATAATAAATTAGGATCTTATATTTATGACTAGAATAAATGTTAAAAATTATTTCGAAAGTAATATAAAGGGGAAATTGCAAAAAAAGACCTTGGAATTGTAAAAACGCAGATAGGGACCCTTGACAACTTCACTTTGGGTTTTGACAAGAATAATATGCCCTGAAGTTGTCAAAACCCAAAGTGAAGTTGTCAAGGGTCCCTATCTGCGTTTTTGCAATTCCAAGGTCTTTTTTTGCAATTTTCCCTAATATAAATGAGGTTGAAGAATTTTATAAGACACTCCATTTGTATGATTGCCAATAATGTGCGATTTGATGTACGGCCTAATCATCGATTTGATATTATTTTATCAGTAAATAATTTAAGAAATATAAACGACTCAAAATACAGTAAAGTTTCAAACAATTAATTGCTATTTCATGCCCAATGCTTAACCACTTCAAACATAATATTGCACATTTGACCAGGAGCTTAACATCTTTTTCTTTCCGTCTCTTTTTAACGCCCCTCTACCTGTACAAAGTTTTAACTTTGACACAATGTAAAACCTACTACCTCCTCTCCTTAGTACTAAGAGCCAGTTGACTGATTTGAAAAAATTAAGGAAAGAAGTTAAGTTAGTTATTTATAATAAATATGTATTGTCTTTTCTAAAATATCCTTACTAATCAAAAGTATTAGTTAGAACTACCATTGTTAGAAAGATTAGCTTAAAAAATATATATAAATATTAGAGACAAAGTGGATTAAGGTCTTATATTTAGGACCAAAATAAAAGTCAAACAAGGTCTTATATTAATGATCGGAGGTAGTATAAGATTTTATTTGACTTTTATTTTAGTTCTAAATATAAGACCTCAATCCACTTTGTCTCTCATATTTATGCATTTTTTTAAGGTAGTCCCTCTAACAATGGTAGTTTTAGCCAATACACTTAATTAATAAGAATATTTTAAGAAAGACAATATATATTTATTACAAATAACTAACTCAACTTCTTTTCTTAATCTCCTCAAATTAGTCAACTAGTTCTTATTATTAAAACCAGGTTAGTAATATTTAACCTCTTTTAGATGCTACCAAACTATATACTACCTCTAATCCTATTTATAAAATCTTGTTCGGAAATGATAAATGAGGCTTAGGATCAGAGTTAGCATACTAGTCAAAGTAAAAGTTAAATGTACATGAACATGGGCATCACGTGACGTCGTCAAAAGAAAGGAGATACGGCCGGCAGGCTTCAGATAAAAATTAAAAGATCACAATTTTTTTTTAAAAAAAAAGAGCATATGCTTACGTGGAGAGCAAATAATTTCCGAAGGGGAAGATAATGTAGGACAACCAAATATTAGATTTAATAATCCGTGTCGCGTGGGCCCTGAATTGCCGTGGGATAATTGAATTCATCGACACATACATGCGACCACGTAACCATCATATTTTCAGTATCATATTAATAAATAAACTTATGATCCCTATTAGATTGTCAATTTTAGAGGATATTCCTGTTTGATATCCAAATCTTAAGTACTTCCTCAATAATTCAACATTATTTAGATATATTTCATACTGCTCAAGAAATACGGAACATTTTTAATATGTTGTGATTGGCCTATGGCAAATTTCTAGTTACTTCCCAAATGATGGGTTTTTAATAATATTAAATAGTTTAAGTTTATTGACTTTTAAATCAAATAATCAAATAAAAAATACGTGAATTGAAGAGATTAAATGTGCTTTGACGAATTATATTATCAACTGCTTAGTTTTTATTTGGATTTTAACCCATATAATTATAATCATCACCTTAAGATTCGGGTTTGTTTAATGGTAAGGGATAAGAAAGCCCAGATCATGGTAAAACTTAGGATAATTGTGTTTTCAAAAAATCAAGAAGAGAAATTTCATTTCATATTTGATGAAATGCTCAGGGCATGAGGTTACATGAATAGACGCAATGGTATATAGCGGGCCAAGCATCCGAAACTCAATAATAGAATATACAATAGAAGGATCGTAAGAATTATTCCGAAACAAAAAGGCTGTTGCTTTAATGCGCAACTAGTACTATCCTAAGACTGGGAGCTGCACATGACCTGCAAAAGAATACTAACCTTGAAGTTGAAATAAACTAATGCATCCATCTGGCCATTTTCAAAGTCATAATCTTTCTCTTTTTATTGGCACGATTCTTGGCAGAAATTCTCATCTTGCGCTTGGCATTTCGCATCGGGTTGATGACAGCCATGATCTTCTCCTCTTGTTTCTTCTTATCTCTCTTTGCTTTTAGCTTCTTCCCGATAAGGTTGTACACCTGCACAAAGTTTTGAGTCCCCAAAATGGTCTGCATTTTCTCAAGGCTCTCTTCCGCTAACTGCTTCATATTATCTGGTAATGAGGATAAAATTAATCAACTAAATAACAATAAACAACGCATAACAAAACAAGACAAAAGGATCCATAAATCGTGATTTTTCCTTTCCCACCAGAATTTCTGACCAAGCATGCCTGCACTCTAGACGCATTGCTTCTTTCAATAAAAGATAAACTCAGAATCACTTAAGCTGAAAGTGAGAGTCTGGCTCGCAGAGAAAAAGTAAAATATACAAAGAAACAATGGAATTTCCGTTGCTTTCCTACTTCTCCAGATTAATTAAAAGGAGGGAAGAAAGGAACCTACCAGGGATCACTTTGCCAGCAAGTCCTCCACAGACTTTATACAGAGGTAGCAAGACTTCAGACGCATAATGCAGACAGTCATCCTGACTAATCTGTGACATTATACTTTTAAAACTGTTGAAGACTATTCCCATCTGCACTCAAAAATCAAAGTAATTTCGCTAGTAGGCACATCTGTCAAGAGAAAGGTAATACACACAAAACGAAGGGGCAAAAAAAAGAAATTACATAACTTGCATACAAACCTGGTAAGTCTCCATTTGAAGGGCAATTTTTCCCATTTTCCTGAGCACTGCTGAGACGAGAACATGTTGGATACTACCTGTACTCTGCTGGTTGTTTTGTTCATGTACAGGAGATGTCTGAGGTAAGAACAAGCTCCTTCCCTTCTTTGAATCAAGCAAGTCAAAAGCTTTAAGGAACCGGTCTTTCTCATGCTGCTCAAGAGAAGACCAGAATGCAGAAGGATCTACAGGTGCAATTTTCCCATCACAGAATGGACCCCGCAAACGGCAAAGACAACACTTTGGTTCATCAGGTTGGCATCCGCACCCTCCATGAGTGTTGTTTTAAGTTGGCAGCAAAGCGAAGCAGCTATATGAAATAGTCTACTAGGACTCATAAGATAATAACTTGCCAAAGACTTTTGATTATGTTCTTTGCAGGCATCAACTACATGTGTGAAGTATTGAGCTATGAGGTGGACCGATCTGTTGCGTATCCATGAATGTGGGTGCAAAAGCATCTGACATATTGCATCCCAAATAACCTGAAATTTGTGCACTTATATGTGAGGACCATGGAGGCTTAGAGTCGATTTGGCATAAATTTCAAAAAGAAAAATACTGCTAATTTTTTAAAAAGGAAATTCTTTTTAAGAATTTTTGTTGGCCAAGACAAATTGCTTCCAAGTGTTAGCAAAAAATGTTCTGTTCAAGCAAGACGGTCAGGAATATGAAATTCCTGATTTGAAACACAAACTGTTCTTTCCCAACGATCAGCTAAAAATATGTGCGTATCCAACATTATCTTTCTACTAAAACATGTTCTTATTAGTAATTTAAAAAATGCTTTAAAAAAAAAAAAAAAGAGCTAAACAGTAATGAGACTGATCAAAATGTTTATCAAATGAATAGACCGAATCTTAACTGCTTCTTCATGACAAAGCTTTTTACGAAACTGGTTTCATTTTAAAGAGGAATAAAATGAATTGAAACAAACAAAATTGAAAGCAATGACACATACGGGTGTATTTGAATCAAAGGAAAGAAATATGCATACTTCCATTTAAATCCTTATATGCATTAAAAAATTGTTGATGATTTACCTCGAGATCCCCAGCAAAGCACAACTCATGGAACTGATGAATCAGCTTTTCTAGCATAACTAAAGATAGTATGCTTCCTTCCAATGGGGAATAACAGATTCAGCAAAGTCAACCTTCCTGTCAGCGATTACCTCTATAGAAGACTGTAAGATGCGATGAGCCACTGGTAAGATACTATTGACATGTCTATAAAATCCTTTCCCCAATACCTCAATCAGCAGTCCCAAAACCTGTAGCAACATATTTAGATGTCATTATACATAATAAACTCAAGAACATAAAGAAGTATGTGCAAAAACAAAAGCTCCTAAGACAGAACATAACAGAATTTGCAATTAAATTACACAAACAGGTGCGAAACAAAAAAAAAAAAAAAAAAAAAATCTATAACAAAGCAGAAAGCATTCTTGAAAGACAGAGAGTGTACATAAAACAACCCATCTACCTCTATATAAATTCTATGTCAATATAACAAAGCAGAAAGCAATTCTTGAAAGACAGAGAGTGTACATAAAACAACCCATCTACCTCTATATAAATTCTATGAGCACAAAAAGACACGTCCACCCGAACTACAAGTTAACCTAGAAAGCTTCTATAAATCATCTTGAATGCCTCCTAGCACATAATGCATCAGATACTTATATGCATAAGGTGAAATAATGAGAGGGGAGCCCCAAAGCTATGCTTTATATTAAATTTATGACTGACTATAATCAAGAAGATATTACCTGTGCAGCAGCACCCCAAAGTTTCTGCTTCTCGCCCAAATACCAACATAAAGCATACTCGAGCATGGAGTTTTGTGAATT